ACTTTGTTACATGTTATTTAAAGATCCAAGTAAAATTAAGTGCGTGCATATTATCTAATGTATTAGTTAAGATAATCACATAATTAAATTGATTGGAAATGACTCCATATATAGACCTAAACTGAAATTTTCAGCACGCGACAGGTATAAATATTTACAGAACGGCAGTAACTTGTAAGTAAGTAATATAATTTCAATAGAATTATAGACTCATATTAAATCTATTGACAGGCGAAACACTAGTCGGTCACACACTTAGACGAGGTATTTGATATCCATGCATTATTACAAGTTTACTGGTATATGATATTTCAGTAGAACTTTGCTAATGATTTTGAGTAAGTGCGAGCCGACCCAGCGGCTAGTCGACTCACCTGTGTTTGAAAAGATATAAAACTTTATTATTTTCTAGATATCTACCAGAGAGCTACTTAATACAAGAATTGATTTACACTGAGTCTCTGTTATTGTGAGATATAGTCTAATTTCGCATAATACAATCGCAGTGAGAGATATTAGTAAGTAAAAATCAATATACACATCTGATAAATTAAATTTTTTGAGCTCGCAGTATATCAAATAGAAGTAAAAGTAAATGCTCACTGGATATCGTTTATAATAGTTGTGCATTTACTCTTGTAAATAAAGTTATTTGTTAAACTCATTCATCTATCGAGTGATTAGTACGATTAATCACTTAGAGTCCGTATTGTACGTGAGTTGCGCACGCCAATTATGTATATGTTATGATCTATTCGGGTTTATTAGGTTTTAAGGTTGGAAACTGAGTATAGGTATATTGTATATAAGTGTTTTCCTTGTTTGTTAAATTTTGTGACAGACAATTGTTTTATTTAATATATATGTATCATATATTCATGTCTAGGTTGTTTATACCTTTATTGTCGGTTAGGTGAAGGATATCAACTTATTACTTCACTCAACTCGCATTTCAATTGAAGGTCTCTCAGACTTTAGGATTCTACTTAATTATTGATATATGATAACTCTTATTATATTTGTTTGGTGAGAATGTTCCTTTTGTGCACGTCCTTTTATTATTGAGGTAATCATCGTGTGGTAAACGTTACCTGTGGGTAATATCTATTTATCACTTGTGTTTGGCATTTTTGATTAAAATGTTAATATTATTGTTTACAATGTGGTAGGAATACATAATTAATTAGTTATTCATTCATAATACAAAGTGGTAAACCACCAAATGATTTATGTTTGCTTATAATTTCTCTTTCTGTCCTATATTGTAAATCTATATTAATTTACTACGTGTTGGTAGAGTATCACGTGACACGTATTTATTATTGAGTATGTAGATGTCTCCAATGCAAACTAGAACTGCCAAGAGAAGCAGTGAGGTCGATATGATAGTTATAAGGTAATGTCAGTCATTATTTGTTGAAGGTCCTATACGCACCGCAACTTAGCCCTGGATCATAAGGTTCAAATTAGCATTTTCATTCATAAATATGTATTTCTACTTGGTTGGAAGATATACCTATGGGGAATTCTCTTATTATCTTATATACTGTACTGAGCATACTTAGGATAGGTAGGTACCACGTAGCTGCGTCAATGAGACTGTGGAGAGTATACCCTTTAAAGCTTCTATAGATTCCCATGTAAAATACATACATAATTATATGTGAACTCTACAAATATTAACCATATTGAGATTTTTCCCCCAGCTATTTTGCTTACATAAGAATTTATCGTTTCAAGCTTTAGATAAACGTTGATAAAATAGAATAATAAAAAAACGACGTATCAATAGGAAGATAAACACTAATGCTTGATAAGTACTTTATGGGATGAACTATTTTCAGTTTTCTTCCAAGTATTTCCGGATCTTTCCTAAGTAGTAAAACAAGCTTTTATTTGGTCCATATGTGGTCTCTATGTGATCGATGCATTTAAAGACATTTTCTACAGTTTTATGAAAAATTAATCCTTTCATAGAATTTTCTAAATTTTTTGTATGATTAGTAAAATTTAATGACGAATTTAAAAATAAAAAGAAAAATATATGTTGACGTGTTGGATTTCTTGTAAAATGGCAGTTTCCATGGTAACCGTATATCTAAAAACTGTCAAAATAGCCTAACTGTGTTATAACGAATAGAAAATGTATAAGATAGCTTAAAACACACAACGAGCATTGTTTTATGCAAAGATAATCTTATCTAATGATTCTGTATGAAACAAATGATAATCTGAACATATTTCTTTAAAAAATGAGTTCTCCATGTTCCTCAACCGAACAAAAAATGAGAAAAATAAACATGAATTCTGAGAATAATTAGAGATATTGAAAAAAGTGTTTCATAGGATTTTCTAATTTTTTTGTATGTTGTGTAAAATTTAATGACAAATTCAAAAAGAAAAAGAAAAATATATGTTGGCGTGTTGGATTTTTTGAAAAATGGCAGTTTCCATGGTAACCGTATATCTCAAAATAGTCAAAATAGCCAAACTGTGTTATAATAATGTATGAAATAGCTTATTACACTCACAATAAACATAATTTTATACAAAGCTTGCTTTATCTTAGGGTTCTGTATAAAACAAACGATAATTGGAACATATTTCTTTAAAAAATAAGTTTTCATGCTTTTTAACTAAACAAAAAAATGAGAAAAATAAACATGAATTCTGTAAAAAATTAAAGCTATCAAGAAATTTCTTTCATAGAATTTTCTACATTATTGATATATCAAGTAACATTTGATGGTGGATTCAAAAATAGAAATAAAATATATATGTTGACGTGTTAGTTTTTTTGTAAACGGGCAGTTTCCATGGTTACCGCATATGCCAACTGTCAAAATTACCACGCTTTCTTAAGAAATATCAGTGTTATACTAAATGTATTGTCAAATATACAACAAAAACATGTTGTAATAAAAATTTCTTTTTCTTTTGATGTTATATTAAGTAAATGATACTGAATATCTTTTTAAAACATATCTAGGGCCATATTATTTTTTTCACTCGACTAACATACCCGAACAGTAAGCAAGTATTCAGAAATTTACAACGAAAATAATGAAATTCGGAACATTTCTTAGATATTAATTTTGTTTTTTTATTCAACACTTTTAAAATATATCATTTTAAACTTCTTTGCCCAGTTGTCTGCCAGTAATCAAGTCGCGACGCACTTTCGTCACTATACCACAAGTGGGTGGGGTAACGCGCGCAGAATTATCATCAATGCTGTCGTACTAATGCTTGGAGAAATCCTTTATGTGATGTTGTTTAAACGACCTCTTATTCTTTTGAACCGATCTCCTTTTGAACATTTAAAAATATCTATTCTGTATTATTTACTCATTATTTGCTTATAGCCGAAATTCAAACACTTATCCGAATACTATTCAACTTGACCTTCATTTGAAGAGTAATTATCCGTGATTATCTTTCTTGGAAGCGCATAACGATGCGCACAGAAAACTACCGAAAACGTCTTTAAGAAAGGTCAATATCATTAGAGCGGCCAATATTGTTCAAACGTTTTCATAGAGACCGTCACCTTGAGTCTTTCAATCCGAATAGGTACTACATGATGAGTTTATAACCACATAAAAATATGATATGTGTGATTCACGCACGTCAGAACACATTTTTCCAGGACACAATAGAAATTAAACTAAAAAAATGGAAAGGGAAGTAGAGACATAGCATTGACCAACAATGCCTTGTGCTTGCGTAAATTTGTCTCGCTTCTGTACATTAAATATTAAACTTTTCGAAAAATATAACTTTTTTGCAGAGAAAGGTATGTGACACGCACTTGCTCAGAAATATTTGTTTTGCGATTGAACTCATATATTTGTCGAATTCACACATACACATCTTTAAATTGATATAACGGTGTCCTTGATCTCGATCACGCGCACTTTTGCAATGTTAGGCTAAAGTCCAAATTTGGAATATACGAGCATATCAAAAACACTTCAAAGTTTAATGTAATAGTCATATACACAGTGACCTTCTCTGCAAGAAAATTCAATTTTATCATTCATACATCAGCGTATCCATTAATTACGATAATTTATTACGAAATTTTAAAATAATTGTGGCAATAAGATTGAGTTTAAATTAAGCGTGTTTTTATTATTTCTAGTAAACTGTTTTTCACATGTAATAAATTATACTACCCTGTATTATAATGGAAAACCTATAAATATCACATTAAACATTGCCTCTTTTAATTCACGAAATCGTGTTTTAAGTTATTGTTCTTATGTTGACAAAGCACTGCACATAAATATTCAATGAGAACTATATACCTACGAAGTTTCTTGTGGTTTCAGAGTTATGTCTCGGACAAAGTTCAAAATGTATAAATGAGAAAAGGGGGCATTAATTTGAATCTAAGGAAAGGCAGAAGTAAGTTTTTTTGCATTGCATATCTACTCAAAAAGATCTATTAGTGTACAAAGTTTCTGGTTGATATTTCTTGTGGTTTCAGAGTTATGTCCCGGACAAAGTTCAAAGTGTAAAATTGAAGAAAGGGGATCTATCAAAAAACATGTCCCGGATAAGAAAATGCGGACGGACATACGGCGCACATACTGACGAACAGACAAAACAGCAACTTTACGCTCAACGGTTGTTTTTAAGTGCACATTAAATTTTACCCAATGAGAGCTATGTGACACCAAAGTTTCTTGTTGATAACTCCTATAGTTTCAGAGATATGTCTCGGACACTGTTCAAAGTGTAAAAGGACAATAACTCCAAAATTAGGCAAGAATGAGTTACGGTTCTTTTGCACTGCACTTCTACTCAATAAGATCTATCTACTTATTAAAGTTCTTCTTGATAACTCTTGTAGTTTCAGAGTTATGTCCCGGACAAGAAAAGGTGACGGATGGACGCCTGGACAGACATGGCGGCGACTATATGCTCTCCCTTTGGGGAGCATAAAAATGACACTGAAATACCAAGAGAATACTCGAAGCACAACAAGAAAATCTTGTTTAATATTTTTCTCTTTATTATATTTAACAAGATTTCGTTTATCGTCACACAGATTGTATATAGAAAATTATTCATTTATTATTCACATATTTACAGCACAAAGCTTTACAGAGTTATTTTGTTTGACAAAGCAAACTTTATTTTCATTATTCAAACCAAAAACAGATAGTATATAAAAGGGCTCATGACATATGTTTTCATGAAATACAATTGTCACACACTCAAATAATGATATAAAACAAATAGTCATGATCAAAACAAATAAAACAGTTAGATATTCAATCGTGAATAATATGGTACATTGTTAAATGGTTAGAATAAATGCGAAATGCACTTGAGATCTTTCGGCACTTAGATTACAATTTCCTTCCTTATTAGATCAGATTACACACACTATCGTTATTGTGAATTTTTCTTAGTTTTTAAAAGGTACATACAACGATTTGTTTCATAACATATATAACATTCACTGTTAATTGAAAGGGACAGGCAGGACGAGCAGCATAGTCGACACTCATCCTGTCGGCATTGGTCATAGCTTCAACGTGAATGTTTTTACAACATTGTATATCATTCACTATTTAATGAAACAAAACCTGTCAAAAAAGTCCTTGATACATAAAGGATACAAGAAAATAAAACAATGTGAGTAAAATGTGTAAATGTAATTCATATCTCCATATTACTATGTACATGTAAATGTACAGTTAAAGCACGTCCGCTGAATTAATATAACTCGATCGCTGTAAAATATCAATCTCAGAATATGAGAGAAACTTGTGTTTACTTAAAATTAAACAAAAGCCATAACATTAAGCCATGTCAAGTGAAAAAGCTTTTGAAATAAATAAATTAATAAGTTTTTTTTTCTTTGTTTTTGGCAATTCTAATTTTAATTTATACAATTAAATACAATTTAAGCGAGGTAGCTTTACTTGTACGATTAGGCTTGGGGTAGGTATTGTTCTGAAAAAGAAAATGGCTGATGAAAAGTTATGAATGGAATGTTACTCTTACATGCACAAATGCCCGTATATTAAATCTAAATCATTTCCTTATAGCAAAAAAATCATAAATCAGGACATGCAAGGTTCAAGATTATATTAAGGCACGAACATAATGTGTATTGCCATAAACAATAATGGCGTGTATACATTACTTATAAACATATAAAACAAATGCATAAAACATCTAAATACAAGAAAACGTATATTACATATATAATATCACAGTCATGAAATAAATACTTAGAATAAAATTATCGATGTTTAAAATTTGTTGGAATTATATAGCTACCAGTTGTTTCTCTAGCTTCAGTTGCATAGAATATAAATTTTAAACAATTTCTTTATGTTATTCTGTTATGAGTTATTCATTTACCCTTAAAATTTATGTACATTTGGCCAAAAGAAGTAGTTTTTTGGCAAAATTTTTATATTCTTTTTGTAGGACAAGCTATGGAAAAATGATATCCAGTTTTCACTTCATAATGAATTTTAAACCAACTCGTTGATTTCTTTCAATATTTCTAAACCTTTCTCCTCCAGTCAATATTTTATGAACAAAACATCTTAAACACGAATGACTATTCTGAATTTAGTACTTATTATACAATTAAGATACTTCTCTTTTCCAAACGTACTTTTGATAATACTATACGTATCGAGCTTACTAGAATTATTAATTTCAAAGATTCTTTGTTGATAATAGTAATCAATACATACGTTGGATTACAGACTTATGAAAAATAATAAGTATTGAGTATTAATTCTATACAAAAAAGCTTTAAAAGCAGAATAACAATTTACAATCTCATTAAAGTAGTACATTGTAGTATGTGACGAGCATTTTTTCCTTAACATATTAACATTCATTGTTACATTTATTACAATTCAATAAACCAATTGTTAAGTTTGTTTTTAAATTAACAAAAGGCCATGACTAAAATACTATTGTTGGATTTAGGTAAGTTCATTTGTGCTTTCATCACAACTTAATGTATATTTGTTTTACTACTGACAAATGTATTCCAAGATATAAATAAATAAATAAATAAATAGGACGGACGAAGTGACATATATCGCTATTTGAATACCCTCTTTCTAATTTTATCTGCAGATAAATTATATTTCATAACACACTATATGTTCAATATGACCAAAAGACAAAAACTGACAGAAATATTGCAAGATAAGCAGACTATACATTGAAAATACCTCTCATGTTATGTTATATCAATAAAGGAATCATTAAAAAACCTTAAAAACGAGTATTCATTTTTATTTATGGCTAGACTCTAAAAAGTCAACAAAAAGTTGGTCATATAATAAATGTGAACTTAATATTTATGTTCTCTCATCAACTTAATTTCACAGATAAAACCCACTATTGACTGGTGGGAATAAACAAGTATGCTTTAACTTTTTTTAAGTTATATAATTATGTAAATTTGCGTTTTAAATAACATGCTACTCGGAATGTTTTTGCTCTTATTATACGTACGTGTGGCTAATGAATTACATCTTTCTCGAGTATTGTATTCTAGTTATGATTTGATCAACAAGCATATCAATGTAGCTTTGCGCAAGTCATATTTAGGTACACATTTAATCTATGATACAAATTCTACAAAAAGTCAAAACATAAAACAAAATACAAAAATAAATAAAACCTGAACACATCTATAATCACAGAAAAGAAGTTGGGTTAAAGGTAGTCAGTCTAATTTACAAATTGTTATATTATCTTTAAATATATTACAAAACCATACAATTTTACTCTGAGATACATAACGAGTATCATAAATCTGAAGTATTATGCATTTTACGTAATTTTTTCATTGTTTTAATTTTTTCAATTAATGAAACGCAATAATCTTAGTCCTATTACGTTTTGAACAACCCTCGTATTTTAGAGCTGTTTTCAAGACAAGTAAATGTAGAAATGGTGTGAGTTTATTTTTTCCTTTTAACCACATATTTATTTTTAAGTTCAAATAAATACTTTGAAAAGTTTAGGAGATATACTACTGCTAGGAACTTATTTCATTGGTTCGTTAATGAGAAATTAAAAAGGCTGACAACCTTTATCCCTGGAATCACATTTTAGTGAAAGGCAATATTTGTATATAAATTTAATTAAATATGAAAGTAAATATTAAATATGAACACATCAAAAAATAATGTTGTAAAGTTTAAAAATATATGTTTGTGAACACATAATGGGCAAATATTACAAGCTTGAAAATAATCCACTTTGTCATAAATGTTACATAATATTTAAAACACATATTTCACATTCGCACTGAATAAAAAAGAACTTCGTAAACAGCTCAAAATAAAACTATTATCTATATACCCATATAATTATATTAACATCAACATTCTATCTTAAAATATATCACATTTATAACATGATAATACGAGCATGTAATAAACCAATATTAGGGTAACATTATACAGCAGTTAATAAGTATATTCTCTGCGATATATTTATGTCCTCTCGAATTACTTGCTACATCTATGATTTGTAACTAATCTAAATTAACTTTAAATACAAAAACTAACATTAAATCACATGTTTTCATTTCTGTCTTGTTTTTGTTTTGTTAGCACAGACACATTTATGCAAAATATTACATTATTCATAACGATTGTTTTTTTTTAATTTTTTCATTAAAAATATTTTAATGTCCCGAAAATATAAATTTCAAGACACTATTCGAACACATTGTTGAGCACATTGTAATGAAGTATATAGTTGTAAAAGCGCAGTGCAAATGTATATCAGTTGAGAACATACATTATATTTATTAAGAGTTAAACCAATATATGTAACAACAATAACTGATTTGAGATTACTACAATAAAAAGGTTTTATCCCAAAGTTAGTTATACTGAAAGTATTTAAAACTATATTTACAAATGAAAGATGATTATTGATGCAGGTAAAATAATAATAAAAAAAGAAACCTGAAAAGAATAATACAATAAGAAACATGAAAAGAATAATACAAAAAGGTTTCATCCCAAAGTTAGTTATACTGAAAGTATTTAAAACTATATTTACAAATGAAAGATGATTATTGATGCAGGTAAAATAATAATAATAAAAAGAAACCTGAAAAGAATGTGAAATGAGTTATATACTGTAGTATGCTGTAGGTAAAAGTGTGATAGAAATTCAACCTTAATTCACAATGGATTGAAGATTTGTATAAGAAGAAAATCATAGAATATATTTCAAAAAGAATGAATACATTTTAGGCAGTAAATTTTTGAATGATATCAAATCTCTTATCTCATTCTTATCACTCACTTGGAAGAAACAGAAGATCTTTAATTACCGTATTGCATATTGGGCATCTGTCGTAATGATTGGCACAGGATTGGCAAGTTAAAAGGTGTGGATATAAGCAACTCATGAATACAACGCTGCGGACTTCCTCTCTACAGCGTATGCAGTAATGACGATATTTCAACCTTTCGTTTTCTTCACGCAGAAGTCGAGTGTAGTAGTCTATGAAGTTTTCAATGCTTTCGTTCACTGGTACTGAAAAAACAAGAAATAAAACGCATGTTTTTGAAATCTATGGAACATTTAGGGAAATGAAGAAAGAGTGGAATATGTGTTTGGAAACGGAAATAGTAATGTATTTACGAATGCATATTGAAAATACGGAAAGGATAAATGTTCAGTTTGTTCAGTCTCTGCTAGAATTTCGGGAGATAAGAAAATACTGTCACAATCGTTGAAACACTCTGCTCACTCTTTCGTAAAAGCATAGTTTGAACAATTTTTTTTTTCATAACAGTTCTGTGCTGTTCTAAAAGGTCAAAGGCTGAAATAAATATGTAAAGCATATTATATGAAATCATTGACATGTTGATATTTATCAAAATTGATCATATATTTGGTAGGATATTTATAAATCATGTTTCTTTTAAAATTATCATTTAAACTAATCAAAAATATAATATACCTGCAAACACAGAGGTGGGTCTGTTTCCTGAAACCTCATATTGAGGTTGAGTATCGTCATCATTTTCCGGTACCGCTGTCATGCTGTTAACAAAATGACACTCTCGACGTCTTGCCTCTACGCCTATGCAATTGATTTGCTCTACTCTATTAAGTTGAAATGGTGTCATTACGGATCGGTGATCGCTGTTCGAATGGGCATTAGCATACACCAATGCAGGGCGTGGAAGAGACATTCTAATTCGGTTCAAGAGGTTGAAGGTCTCCAGTTGACTGGCATGCACCAATGCAGGGCGTGGAAGAGACATTCTAATTTGTTCTCCAGATGAAAAGACTATTCTAGACTGTTTCTAATCTGTAAAAACAAGTTAATATTGTGAAGAATGATTAATTTGTAATAACCTATTCAAGGATTTATTAAGACTGCCAAAAAACTAATACGAGGAAATATGGCTATATTTAAGGTAAACGTTTACATCTCTCTTTGGACAAATTGTTCAGTGTTTTTAATGGCATTTTTTAAATAAACACAGATATCTTCTAAGCAGTCGCACAGAAGATATCTTTATAAATACAATGTATAGTGTTTTCAGCATTTCTGAAATCTGAGTATGCAAAACACATAACCAAATCATGGCAATTTGACGAATTTCAAAAGAATTGCGTTAGAAATTGAGCAATTGGCAATGCATAAAATGTTAAAATAATAAACCCCTGCACATTTTAACTGGACTGAAAATAGGAAAGGCACACATATTTTAGTCGATTTAATTGTGTATGTTCCTTTATATCATAACAATGCCTCGTATATGATATCAATATCATTAGTAACATATCAGTTTAACATTTATCAATGTTATTGCCCTAATAAATACATATCTACAAGCTTACGTAATGTACGATATTCTATATTTAGAAAAATGTAGTCATAATTATTTAATAACCATGGTCCAAGCGCGTGTACGTCCTAACGTATTTATATCATTATGTAAAATTTGAATATTGAACATTATTTTAAAAATAAATAAACAAGCTGTACCCCAGTTGTAGGTACGAATCTCTGTAGCTTTTAAGTACGGTATAACATATTATATTATTTTATAGTTATAATGGCAGTACCCATTGATTGAGGCAAACTTTATTCTCTTGGTATTAATATGAACATACTTGGAATAGAAAAACACTAGAAAATATTTCAAGTATCATCTAATCTCTAGGCAATGTGGTTCCGGAGTAGAATATCTTTAAATTTGTACTTTTAAAATCTATTTTTAGCTTACATAAAATATTTAAATATCAACACAGCTTTTGTAGAGGCTCATTTAAATCATTTCAATCGTGTGAAATATGGTCCAAATCCACATTGTGTTTAAAAAAAGTGTTTAAATAAAATGTAGATAGCGACGCACGACGTACGGTAAACTATCTCAAAAAGCTCAACTTAAAGTACTTTGTGCTCAGGTGAATGAAAGAAAACGTGTCCAGATTTTGATAAAATCTTAAAAATTCATTTCAATTATTGTAAATGTAATTTTGCTGCAATTTCGCATTGGATTTAATATAAGCTTTTCGTGACTTATATCAATAAATATAAAACTTTCGTTATAGATTATAACTGAAATCCTGATATTTCTAATTTAAGATATAACAAGGTTAGCTTTTAAAAAAGCTAGTAGCGACTCGCTTCGTAATTTTTTTCCAGGGGTGCGTTTAAATGCAAAAATGATAGTTCTGTTAGCTGAAGTCTTAGCTGAAGAGACTTCAGCGAACATCAAAATAAAAGTGAAAAAAGTTATGGAAGCCAGTTCTCTAAGTTTAACAAAGAGGAATATGAGTATATATGAAGATGCATGTAAACAGATAGAATGAAGTCCCTATGTCTATGCACATTTACTGTATGGCCTGTTGACCTTGACCAAAAAAATCTTAGATAGGTAGAATTCATAAAGACGTCTGTTTATACGAAGTTAAGTTGTAATATGTTATTTAGTATCGGAATGAGTGACAGACACAAGTCCTAAAGTAAACACAAGTTGTCAGAAAAGCCGGAATACTATTAAAAAAAATATAGGGATCCCGGATTTTGACCAGTCTAAGATGTTTTTCAGATAAGCCGGGATCCTATTAAAACATATAGGGATCCTGGGAATTGACCAGTTCAAGAATATAGTTTTCAGAAAAGCCGGGATCGTATTTAAATATAAAGAGATCCAAGGAATTGGCCAGTTCAAGAATATAGTTTTCAGAAAAGCTGGGATCGCAAGAATGTAGTCTTTGTTTTTTTCCAATTAATTAGGCATATAATTATAAGTATTGGGATTTCCGCATTTTAAGTTTGTTAATAAATACCTCTAAATATATTTTTATCCTAAGTTTGATTAATTTAACGTTCATTACATACAATAAAAAAACTTAATGTTTAATGTCCCTTCATTACGACAATAATCAACACAAATATAGTTTATTAGTTTTTCCTCTTTATCTTATACGATCCCGGATCCCGGCCAGTCCGGGCCTCCCGGACCCCGGCCAGTAAATATATACACTAAATACCGATAAAGGATAAAATGACCGGAAAAAAGGAAAAAGAAAAAAATGCACAGAACCAGATGTACACTTATGTTAATTAACCAAACGAAAACTTACTACAGAGGAACAGGTGAGATCGCTAAAACAAAAGTCAGTGTAAATATGATTTTTTGAAAAGAATTCATGAAAACAAACATTTTAATCATCATTATATCTTTGCGCTCAAAATAATACTTGCTGCTTTTTAAAAATGGCGTGAAAATTGAAGGTTTTTTGACGCTATGTAAGATTAAATTTGATTGGCTAAATAGTTTTGGATCCTAGCCCTGATAGATAAATTCTGTAGAAAGCTGGAAGCCAAGCTTCGATTAAATTTTTGGATGGATTCGGAGTTTTAGGTTGTTTTTCAGTAAAATCCTAACGTAATACCGGCTCGCCGTGGCGAGCCGGCATAACACTTAAATTATAGTAAAATGCATGACTCTTGAAGATATTGATAAACGGTTACTATGATCGAAGGCGTTTCTGACTCCATTTAGCTATAAAGGAAGTAAAATTCATTCAGTACAATGTAAACATTGGAGCTATTCATGAATAAAGCGGTTAGTCGGCCAAGGGTAAGATCGTAAGACATTGAATCGTTTACGGAAGTACGTCAGCGTGTTGAATTACATTATTTATTGCCACCTATGTTAAAAATTGTCTGCTCATCAATGCTGCCATTAGAGAGACCCGCAGACAAAAGACAGAGTCAGGTATCTACCTCCCATCAAGCCGAGGCTTTATGGATGACCTCACGTTGACGACACCAACACACGTCCAGGCTAGATGGATGTTGACAGCACTGACAGACGTCGCGTCATGGGCCCGAATGAAATTCAAGGCCGTAAAGTCCAGGTCCCTCATAATCAAGAAAGGCAAGACGACAGACAGATTCGTGCTCCGAGTACAGAACGAGGAGATCCCATCCATCACGAAGAACCCTATCAAGTGCCTTGGTAAGTGGTTTGATGCCAGCCTAGTAGACAAGGACAACGTCAAGAAGCTAGAGAACCAGGTAGAAGACGGGCTGAAGAAGATAGACCGGATCAACCTACCTGGGAAGTTCAAGGCCTGGCTGTACCAGCATGCCTTACTACCAAGGCTGATCTGGCCAATGATGCTGTACGAGGTACCCAGCTCAACAATAGAAGCCTTAGAGAGAATCACCAGCCGACATCTTCGCAAGTGGCTTGGAATCTCACCCAGTTTCTCCAGTATTGGACTGTATGGGAAAACCAACAAACTGCAACTCCCACTATCTTCACTGGTAGAAGAATTCAAGACGGCGAAGACAAGACTGGTGCTTACCCTAAGAGACTCCCCAGACGAGCAGATCCGGGAAGCAGGGATCGTTACCCGTACTGGAAGAAAGTGGTCAGCGACAGAGACTGTCAGCCAGGCGGAGAGCTCTCTCATGCACAAGGACATCGTCGGTGTAACGGCTGTCGGACGACAAGGTATTGGTGCAACCAAAACACTCCTATGGAGCCAAGCCAACCAGACTGAGAGGCGAGCCCTGATACAGTCAGAAGTACGGAAGGAAGAGGAGAACAAGAGACAGGCCAGAGCGGTAGAGATGGGTGCGCAGGGTGCATGGACAACGTGGGAAACCATGGAAAGGAAGCTGACCTGGGAAGACATCTGGATGTATGAACCACTTCGTCTATCCTTCCTCCTCAGGTCAGTTCATGACCTCCTGCCATCTCCAGCTAACCTCTGCCGATGGGGACTAATCACAGACCCAACATGCAGTCTGTGCAAGAAACCAGGCACTCTGGAACATGTTTTATCTTCCTGCTCCACAGCACTGACACAGGGCAGATATCGCTGGCGACACGACAACGTCCTCAGAGAGGTTGCCGATTGGCTGGAAGGGGAGAAGAAGAAGCCACGCAGAAGTAACTCACAGGCAGGCCACATCAACTTTGTGAGACCGGCTGAAACTGCGAAGACAGAAGCTTCACAGAAGAAATCGATCCTTGACGGCACCTCAGGATGGAATATGTCAGTCGATCTAGGAAAGAAGCTTGTGTTCCCGGGAATCGTCCAGACCAACTTGACGGTCCGGACGGTAACTTGCACTTTCCAGTACCGTCCATGAACAGGCTCAATCAAACCGAGCCTGCAACATTTTCAATTTTGCCGTGTTGGGCTTTCTTTAGGGATTTTGTATTTATCTAATTTATTGAGACCAGACATTGTACTGTGGTCCGAGACAGGGAAGAAGCTCGTTGTCATCGAGTTGACAGTACCTTGGGAGACGAGATGTGAAGATGCCTATGAGAGGAAGAAGGCCAAGTACACTGAACTACTTGAGCAGTGCCGACACCGAGGTTGGCGGACTTGGCTATTCCCCATCGAAGTAGGCGCTAGAGGGTTCTGTGCGCAATCTGTATGTAGACTGATGACAGCTGTTGGCACCACTGGCAGAGACAGGCGCCGGGCAATCCAGAAGCTGAGCCAGGCTGCAGAGCGGGCGCTTAGCTGGCTGTGGCTACGACGCGAGGAGACAAGCTGGATGCGATCAACCTCCACACCGTAAGACGGTGGGCCCAACCGCCATTACAGATGTACTTGGATAAGAGCCGAAACATCTGGCGGGCACCAAGCCGACGATGGAGGAAGATCCGCAGTCGAGAACCAGACCTCAGAAAGGTGCGTTTAAGACTGTATTATCCACATTGATCATCTGGTTTACCAGTGACTTCTAGGAAAGACTGGATGGCAACCAGGAATAGATTGGTGACACTGGAGAGACAGTTGACCCCAGGAACAGACTGGAAC